CAAAAAAAGAAATAAGGAGATTTTCAAAAGCAACCAATATGTTTGTGGGCATAACTTTTAATCAAGAAATAATGGAGCCCACATTTTTCCTGCAATTAATCCCAAATACAAATGCCAGCACACATATACCTATCAGATTTACTTGCTCAACCTGTCACCTTCAGAAAAGCAACAACCACAGTGAAGTCTTTCTGAAAATCAGACTCAAAATGAAGAGCCCCAATAATTCAGGGGAAATGAGTTGGCAAATAAGGGGGTTTTCAAACTCAGAAACCCAAGAAGAACGTGAACAAAGTCACAGCAAAATCTCAAAAAGAAAATAAAACAATCCCTTCAAAGAGGCTATTTTTGTTCTGAGCTCCTAGTCTCTTTGTAGTATGTCTCACATTTTCTCATAAAACAACTGAATCGCTAAATAGAATTATATAAACATTATGAGCTCCCAGCTTTGCTTTTCATACCATGCCTGGCAGGTGAATGGCAGCAATTTCTTCAAGCTTTTCCAAGCAAGCCTAGGGGACTATTTTACTAGCTCTCTGCAGCTCTGATTAAAATAAATTACGAATAATTGCTACAAATTCACACAAGGCGTAGGAACCCTACATACTTGTTAAAAATTAAATGTTGTGGAAGATGGTTGTAATGACATTTTCATGCAAAACCACATCATTTGGAAAGCAGGATGTATAAGTATAATCTAAAACCCGTTCCATGCTTAATGAAGACAACAAAAGGATATTTTTGGAAATAATGACATTTTCTAGCTGTAACATGGGGCGCAGAGGCATTGCTATTAACCCATTAAAAGTCCCACTGAGAGAAAGAGAGAGAGAGAGATTATTATCTTATAAAATTTGCCCCCAAATTTATTTCTCAGGCTGATGTTGAATGTAAACTGCCTTGAAGGTACAAGATGACTATCAGAACGAAATGTAATAAAACAGACAAAATATATTCAATTAAGATTTTGTTTTGATTTTTTTTAATTAATTCATAGGCTTTTGCAATTTTGCATTCTGTATAATTTCTAACTTTCCCCATTTCTGAGTAAAATGAAGGTAAATGCTGTACTGATTAATGGAAAAACCAATAGAACTCTATCCGTTCAATACTTTGGTAGTGGCCTACTGGAGCCATTTTATGGTCTCTAGTACAAGTTCAACAATAACTCAACTTCACAAGGAATATCCTGCTGTCTCATTCCCCCATGCCGTTATTGGTGGTCAGTAGAGTTTCTCATTCTCTTTGTCTCAGGCTATGTCTATACTAGAAAGGGTTTGCTGATACAGCTATAGGCCATGTCTACACTAGCAAGTTTACAGCAGCACAGCTGTAACGATGGTGCTGCACCACTGTAAGATCGCACGTGTAGCTGCTCTTTGCCGACGGGAGAGAGCTCTCCCGTCCACATAATAAAACCACCCACAACGAAGCTCTCCCACCGACATAGCGCAACGCACACTACTGCTTATGCTGGCGACACGTAAGTCGCTCAGGGGTACGTGTTTTTCACACCCCTGAGCAAATAAGTTTTGCAAACATAAGTGGTAGTGTAGACATAGCCATACTGGGACAGCTATACCAGCAGAGCCTCCAGTGGAGATGCAGTTTATATCCCATCATAAGGCAATCTTTTGACCGTATAGTTAAACCACCTTCCCAGATGACATAAGCTATAATGGAAAAAATACTCTTTTGCCAATATAGTTGTGTTTACACAGGGGTTGCTTGGTGGTTGTTGTTTTTTTTTGCCGGCATAGATATGTCAGTCAGGGGTGCTTATTTTTACACACTCCTAACCAATATAGCTATACTGGCAAAACTTTGTAATGTAGACCTGGCCTCAAGGCTATGTCTACATTAGGAGTACTTTACTGGTATAGGAATACCAGTATACTATACCAGCAAAATGCTCCTAGCATGGATGCAACTATACTGAAAAATTGTTGCTTTGTATTGGTATAGTTACCCCCACGACTCCCCTGAGCAAAAGAAAAGCATGAGAAAAATAGCAATGTGGCCACAGCAACAGTACCCAGGAGGTCAGGCGGGTTTGTGCTCATGCAGGTAACCCATGCTGCTGCATATGCAAATAGCAATGGGGCCACCATGGCCCCACCCATACTGCTATTTTTAGTACATTAGCTCAAGCAGAGCTAGTACGTATCTGTCTACCCTCCCAGCTGCTGTACAGACTTATCCTACTGGCAGAGCCAATGCCAACCCCACAATGCTGCAGGAATACCCCTAAAAGAACCCTCCTAGTCTCTAAAGGCACATGCATGTGCCACTTGTAATAGTTGTCCAAGCTTGCGAGCCCCTGCACTCAACTTGATGGAATTTGTCTGTCGTGCCATAACTTCTGAATGCCACATCTGATCTATTCCAAAATTTCAGGGAACGTTCTAGATATCAATGGCCAGAACCCTCTTCATTTGGAGGGAAATCAGAATGCCAAAAGAGGGAAAAGAGGGACATGTAAACCTCCTGTCATCTCTTGATGGCACCCATTAACCCCTTGCAGCATAACATTTCCCCTGCTCATCTCTCAGGAGAGTTTAACATGTTGACACACTGAGGTTACGTGTGCACTTAAAACATTGCTGCAGCTGAGACACTGTACTGTAGCACTTCTGTGTAGACACTCCCTACAGTGACGGGAGGGGCTCTCCGATCGCTGTAGGTAATCTACCTCCCTGAGAGGCAGTAGCTAGGTCGACAGAATTCTTCCATCAACCTAGCACTGTCTACATTGCGGGTTAAGTTGGCTTATACATGCCGCTTGGAGTGTGGATTTTTCACACCCCTGAGAGACATAGCTATGCCAATGTAACTTTTCAGTGTAGACCTGCCTTGAAAAACATAAGAGAAATAATTACTCTCCCTGCTGGGGAGCAATGGGGCAGATTTCTTAGCCAGCAGGGACAGCCAGAGGGAGAAGAGAGAGAAGGCTTCATTCATTCCATCTTCCTTCCTAATGTCCTGTCTCCTCAGCCTGCCCCAAGTGGGAAGAAAGACGGCACTAGCTGTCCACCCCTTCCTTCCAATCAAGGAGAAAGAAAGGCAGTCTGGGGTGAGGGAAGAAGAAACACAGGGCTTCCCTGGCATGTTGCAGAGAATGGAGGATCATAGCAGGAATGGGGAGAGAGCAATAGGGGAAAACAGAGCCCTAGACATGGTGAGGAAAATGTGGTACCTTGATGGGGGCGGCGGGGGAGGAGAGACACATAGCACCCTTGACATGGTGTAGACTAGAGAATGGGGGACCCTGGCGTGGGCATAAAAGGGATTGGAGGGGAATCAGAATCCCTGACATGCTGGGAGAATGGAAGATCCTGGTGTGGGGGGGAGAAGGGAATGGAGATGAACAGAGCCTCTGGTATAGCATGGAGAATGGGGGACCCTGCTGTGCAGGGATCCACAGAACCATTAGTGGAGAAAACTGAGGGACCCTGGTGCAGGACGTTGGTATGGGGAAGGGAGGCGCACAGAGTTACTGGCATAGGGGAAAGAATGGGGGACTTTGGTATGGCAGGAAAGAGACTGGGGGGCACACAGAGACCCTGGCAGGGAGGAGATTGGGGGAGTTGCAGGAAGTCCCTGAAATAGATGGGGATGGGAGGATGGAACACAGGGAACATGTTGGGAGCATGAAGGAATGCCAGGAGCATGGCCAGCAGAAGCAAAAAAGCATGTAATCCTCTAATATATGTTGTGATTTAGAGTATGATTATGTTAACAAAACAGTAAAGACTATGCAAAAATGGCATCATCTTATTCTATGGGGCCTATCCAGGAAGGCACTTATTTATGTATGTAACTTTAAGCATGGGTACGTGATCCAATACTTTCCATATTCAGGGCCAAGATGTGTTGCCAAGTTATATCTGTTTTATTTTGTTGATTCAGGCCCCAGTGCTCCCATTGATGATTGCACTTAATCACATGCCTGGGCCGCCACAGCCCCACTGATGTTAATGGAGCTTTGGGTAGGCACAGAGGTATGCCCTCATAAAGACAATTGCAGGATCAGGGACTACAACAAGGAACACTTCATGAGGCTCCCCCTGAAGAGCTACCTCGATTCATTCCATCAGGCTGGGGGAAGGTTTTCACTCACCTCAGGTGTTATTGTTCCCCTTTGCCAACCAGTAGCAGATTTTGATTCCGACAGGTCAGTTTCCCATTTGTAGCAGAAACTGTGGAGTCAGGTATTTTCTAGGAGATTTGTTTCCTTACAAAATGTACACACCATCCTGTTTCCTTGAACCAAGATGGCAACACACTGCACAAAGGCAACTGTCTTTTGCATAAACCTTAGCTGAAGCACTGCTCTGCTCCAGCCCCAGATGTAGCTACCTCCCTCCAATCTGACTGCAAAACTCATGCTTAACACTTAGCCCTCAAGAATAGAAACAGCCCTAACCCAAAACTCTTACCAAGAACACCCTGACCAGAAAGGCGAACCCTTAACCCTCCTTTTGTGCACTTGCTTTGCAATACAAAAAGAAGTTCTGAAAGGAATAATAACTATACTGAAAGTGCTTTAACCCACACAATACCCTTATTGGTTACTGCCTGACACCCTTAACTCTTCCTCTGGAGAGTTTCACCAATGTGCAAGTCATTAACATCCTTTGTTACAACATTACAAAATGTATCAATATCAACTACAATCAGTGGAAATAAAGTGGAATGAAAGACTAAGCTATTGAGAGTGCTGTTAATTTCACTGTAAAGTCTTTCGCATGTGGAACTTTGGGGGACGTTTCTATTATCTTTGTATAAATAATTAAATAGTAAAATAAAGACATGCTTGCCTACATCTTGTGGAAGTGTAAAGATACTATGAGGACATACTTGCCAGAAATGGGTTTACTCATTATTGCAGGTGTTAAGATGAACTGGTAATTAGCCTGTTGGCAATTTACTTTCAGAGAAACTTTGGAAAAATCTTACAAATGTCAGTTACTTTTATATTATCTCTTTAACTTATGAGCATGGCACACGCAAAAAGTCTTCATCATTATGCTAAAGTGAGTGCAATAACTTTATCCTGAATTGTGTGCTAAAAGGTCACAACCACAGTTATATGGAGGTGAAAGATATTTTACCAAAGGCACTTTAAGGTGAACAATTAGGAATTGTAATTACTGTAGTACTGCATATACCTCAAGTGCCGCTTTCTGAATGAAGAAGTAGAAGCATGATTCATTCCCATTAAGTTCTTCTTTTGCTTCCACGGTAAAAAGACTGCATGTGAATTCAATATTGTAAAGATCTTCTAAAGCATGCTGCAGTAGCACCATATTCCAGACAGCAAAATAGAAAAGGACCGATAACTGGTCATTTGGGTTTTCTCCTTTACAGAAAATGAATAGTCAATATGTGCGCTTTGAAGTGTTTGGATGTGAAACTGAGGAACTAACAGACTTCTGGGAAAAGACAATTGAAAAACAAACTAAGCATCTGCAAATTGAAAAAGAACGTCAACAGAGAAGTGCTCTGCCAAAGTAAGTGGGGGGGAGGAGGAGAAGGGATGCTTGTTTCTGTGGGTTGATATTGTAATCCTTTAAAAAAATAAAAAATAAAAATAAATAAATATATTTAGTACATGCAATAGATGCCAGAATGACCACCAGGAAATTGGGGTTCTTTGTATAATATACAACAACAAAGCTTCATGCGCTGCCCCTCCCCCCTGTATGCCTCAACCATGACCTCAATGGCTATCTCAAAAAGATAAGAGAGGGTAGTTCATTCTTGGGCCCTGCTCAAGTCACTAATGCTACCTTTACCCCTCACTGTTTGGTGCTGTGTGGAGCCTCAGTTCAACCACAGCAGAGAATCTGGCCTTAGATCATTTAGCCTTTCTAACCTTGTGTTCGCTAGGAAAAAATGTATGTTCGTGTGTTCTTAACTCAGAGTAACTAACGTAACTAACACAAGTTCAATCCCTAATTAAAACAAGGCAGCTGTAGTTTCAACATGTGTAGGCAGGCCAAGGCAAACCCTAAACTCCCCTCTAGTCTTTACCTCAGCCTGCTAACCTGTGAAAACTATAAACTGCCTTGTCTTCAGAGGATCTTAGATTGTGCTGGTTACCCCGAGGTAAGAACACACCTTTTTTTTTTTTTTTTTTTTTTTTCCTAGTGAAGATGCACCTTTTCACATAAGCTGGTCCCAAATAAAGGAAGCGTTCAAAATTCACCCACCCTTTTCCTTTTTTTTTTTTTTGAAAAAAGGTTAAAATCCAACAGCAGAGGAAGGAAGGATGGTGTTGCATTTAGTGCCCTGGCCTAGGGCGTGTGAGAGCTGAGCTGAGTTCAGTTCAGTTCCTGGGTCTGCCTTAGATTTACAGTGTAACCTTGGGCAAGTCCCTTAATTTCTCCATCCTCAGCTCCCCACCTGTATAATTTCTCCTGTCTTTTGTCTGTCTTGTCTATTCGCTCTTCGGGCCAGGAACTGTCTTACTATGAATTTGTGCAGTGCCTAGTACAGTGCCTTGATCCTTATTGCGGCCTCTAGGTACTACTGCACTACAAATAAACTCCCACCTCTCACCTAACCTATCTGGCTAACAAGTAAGAAGCATTGCTCCTAGTAAGAAGAATCTTGTAGATTTAACTGTACACAGTCTCTCCAGTGCTATCAATCTAGTCGTGCCACCCAAAGGAAACTAAGAAAGTACTGTAAGAGGTTGTCCAGCAGGTGGCAGCAGCCAATCTTGAGAAATAAGGGATGACCTACAAAGTAGCTTTGTCAAGCCAGGAGAGATGAAAACTAGAGATGACTGAGCCCCAAAGCTCAGGTTAAGTTTCCTCATTATGCTAGAAGACACTCCAGATGAGCAGGATTTAGTAGATCTCCCACTGTTGCTACTGCTGGTAGAGCAGCACCAATGGTAGCAATGGTGGGAAATGTTAGGAAGATGAGTTTGGTGGTATCTCTCAAAGCCTGGAGATGTGCAAGACTGAAGTCTTTCTGGTGATATCGGTGTTTATGTTTCCTGTCTTAGACTCAGAACTGAATGGAAGGAGAGGTTGGAAAAAAGGATACAAATGATGAAGACTCAAAATGAAGAGCCAGCTAGTTGAAGGCTTCTTACACATTTGGGAAAAGAAGGAAAAATGTTTTGCAGAAGAAAACCATAGTGTATTGCAAACACCCAATTTATTTTTATTTATAAGTTTCAATGAGATTTATTCTACAGTACCATCAACATGTAGGGAGTTCATATGTGAAACCTCTATTACTGCTTATGAGACCTATTATCTATGTGGACCCCTCATTCAGTGAGGAGAGAATAAATGTGTATGGATCCTAAATTGTGGTTCCCTGATCCAGACAACTGTCTGGAAAAGGAATTTAGTATCATTTTAACTAAATGCTCATTGAAATAATCTCCTGTGTATTTTATTAAATACTCCTTAGGTTTCTATACATACTGATATTATAGAGCAATTTAATGTGGTTTTTCTTTGAAATTGTTTAATACATTTTTGTGTTTTTGACTACTATGAAACCACAAATATACACAGAGAACAAATACACTTAAAAGATATTAATTTATTACTAATACACTTTGGGAGCAGGTCCAATTCCTCCTCCTTATAAGACAGATTGTTTCAAAGTGTATCCATCTAACCCCTACCACAAATGTGCAATAACCTTTACTAAAATGGAAGAGTTTCAATGAAGTAATGCTATCAAGTTGCTTCTTTTTTAGTGATTGTTTCATTGCCACAGGAGTAATGCACGGCAAAATGGATTCTTTTAAAACACATTAAAAATCCCTTTCCCTCAATTGCTCAGCTGTCAGTCTCTTGCAATGACATCATTTGACTAGTTCTCCAGTCTCCATATAGTTCCAGGGTAGACAAGATTTTAATTACCAAGGGGGAGGGGGCGCAGAGGGGAAATCAGTAAAAGCAAGATTCTGTTTTTTAAATAGCTTAGGTAAACTGTTATCGTAAAGCATGTTTAAAATGTTCTATTTTCCTTTGTACATCACATTTCAAATATGCCACGTTGGAGAGACCTGAGGGCAAAAAACAAATCTGGCATCCAATAGGAGTTGTGCACATGGAAATGACAGGCTGATTGGGAGCCTGAAAAAAGCAGTTCAAACATAAAAAACTACCTTGGAACACATGCTCAGAAATCAAGTAATCAGAACTTTTGAAAAGAATTTCCCTGTGGGCTGAAACTGCTTAAAATATCCTATGCTCCATTTCTTCAATATGGTTTTCTTACACTGCTTTCAAAGTGACATAAGCTAAACTAGAAAGGCACTCTTATTCCACATCTACATAGGGAGTCATAACAGTATAACTATAACCACATAATTATACCTGTAAATTTCCCCATGTAGACAGGCCTCAAGGGAGTTAGGCACATGGCTCCCATTAAGTTTTAGTAGGAGTGAGCGCCTTTGAAAATCCCAGGCTGTGCAGCTCAATTTGTGCAGCCCTCACTTGTCTGTGCTCAGCACCTACTAAACCCAAGACCAAATTCTGCTCTCAGGGTTGCACTGGATTTTACACTGGTGTAGCAGAGATCAAAAATGGGACCCAAGGATCAAAGGTTATGGCTGCACTACAGTTTAAGTCAACATAAATTATGTCATTCAGGACTGTGAATTAGCCACTCCCCCAAGCAACATAATTTATGCCAATTTAAGTGCCAGTGTGGACAGCGCTATGTCAGTGGAAGAGCATCCCCTGGCAACATGGCTACCACTGGGGGGGCTGGAGAAATTAAGCCAATGGGAGGCCGATGGGAGAGTTCTCTCCCATCGGCTTAGAGCAGCTTTGTTAGAGAGCTTACAGCAGCACTGCTGCATCAGTGCAGCTGCTAAAACATGCAATACAAGAGAGACTCAGACTTACTGTACTGAAAATCTAGGAGTGAGAATTTCACTACAGGATTCAGATGGATTGACTGTTAGTCTTTAAGGTGCCACCAGACTCCTTGTTGTTTTTGTAGATACAGACTAACACGGCTACCCCCTGATACTTGACTACTTTCCATACATATTCTCTTCCAATGAAATGAATCATGGGGAGCAGACCTGTCAGAATCCACTAGGTGGCAAGAGTAAGAAACAGAACAGAGTGCCTGCTTTCCAAAGTATTTCCCCGTGATACTTCAGGCTCCTGACATCACAGGACTTTACTTCAGTGATGTCACAGAATGATACATTGTGGGATGTCTTTAGCAAATTAGGATGTGCCAATAGATGTGAAGAGAAGTGAATAAAATATATTTTTTAAAATAGTAAACTGAAATTTATCTTTGTGCTGAATGCATTCTCCCCAGCCTGGATCCTAGGGGTTCTGAGAACATATTTCTAGATTTAGCCCAGTGTTCAGTTTAGCTTTGCAATTTACCTTGAGTGTTTAAATGAATTATTCTGGGCTCAAGTTTCACAGTGTTAGATTTAGGACTTTGGGTCATGTTGTTATCTTTATTTATCCAGGGGGTAGCAACCCATTTTGATTACTAACTCAATCTCTTTTTCAGGAGCAATCTGACTAGTAGCTTTATAAATTACTAGTAACAAAACACTACATTCCCACAGCAATAAATACAATTTAAGATCAATCAGCAAAAACTAAAATACAATAAAACTGAAATTCAAATCTAAATGTCAAGAAACAAACAATCAGAAGCAGGAGCAGAATGCGAGATGAAAATGTTTGGGGTAAATTGAAAAGATGGGAGTATAAGTCTTTAATTCACCTTGATTGTCATTATAAAAATAAAAAGGAAGTGAAGAGAAAAGACAAACTTTAAGACAAGCCAAAACACTGAAAAATGTTCCTTACCTCTAGAGACTATAGGACTGAAAAGGTTGTGGTTTAGTAATTGATAAAACTACATGGGCACTGTAGGATCATTATTGCTTAACAGAATGAGCCAAAAATCCTCTGGATTATTTATCAGTCGCTCTTAGTAAAGGCAGAGCTTTTAGCAGAGTGGGATGTGCAACCAATACAGTGAGATCTAGGAATTAAAAAAAAAAACACTTCTTCAAAGGACAACTTCATTTAATTTGTTTTTTTCAAACCAAATTTACGCATTGGTTTTTAGTATAACAATGGGATATTTCAACTATGCCAATCCATTTTAATTATTTTTTGTGATTAAAATAGGATACGTTTGCTTATCCTTTCCAGCTTTCATTATTTTACCATTCTTCCTCATCTGGATAGTGTGTTACTAGAAGATGTACTATGTACGATGTACTATGCCTCTTTCATTACATAGGCACGATTAAGAACAACTGTGGGTGTGTGTAACACAGACAAAATCGGAAGTAGCATAGTTTTACCATCATCTAAAACAAACACTAAATAATCTGGATCCAATCCCTCTTAGGCTCTGTTTATGAGAAGTATATTCAATGCTACCATGGGAATGACAGATATTCCATTTTATCTGTATTGTATGGATAAGGTCTGACAACTTTGAAACTGTGTTTAAGGGAGAGTTTAAATACAGTTCCTTA